TGCCTGGTCCCCTGAGGTCCTGGGGCTCCCCACTGCCCTCCCAGCCCCCTGCTCACCTACACAAGCTCTGCCTGGTGCCCTGAGATCCTGGGCCTCCCCACTGCCCCTCAGTCACCTGGTGACCTACACAAGCTCTGCCTGGTGCCCTCAGCTCCTGGGGCTCCCCACTCACCCCCATCCCCCTGCTCACCTACAGAAGCTCTGCCTGGTCCCCTGAGCTTCTGGGGCTCTCCACTGTGCTCCCTGGCCCCTGCTCACCTACACAAGTTCTGCCTGGTCCCCTGAGGTCCTGGGGCTCCCCAGTGCCCTCCAGCTGCCTGTTGACCTACAAAAGCTCTGCCTCGTCCCCGGATATCCTGGGGCTCCCCACTGCCCACACAGACCTCTGCTCACCTACACAAGGTGTGCCTGGTCCCCAGATATTCTGGGGCTCCCCACTGCCCACACAGCCCTCTGCTCACCTACACAAGCTGTGCCTGGTCCCCTGAGCTCCTGGGGGAATCCCCACTGCTCTCCCAGTCCCCTGCTCACGTACACAAGCTCTGCCTGGTCCTCGAGATCCTGGGGCTCCCCACTGTCTCCCTATCCCACTGCTCACCTACACAAGGTGTGCCAGGTCCCCTGAGCTTCTGGGGCTCCTCACTGTCCCCCCATCCCTCTGCCCCTCTACATAAGCTCTGCCTGGTCCCCTGAGTTCCTAGGGCTCCCCACTGCCCACCCAGCCCCCTGCTCACCTACACAATCTATGCCTGGTCCCCTGAGCTCCTGGGGTTCCCCACTACCCTCCCAGGCCCCTGCTCACCTACACAAGCTGTGCCTGGTCCCCAGATATCCTGGGGCTCCCCACTGTCCCCCCATCCCTCTGCCCCCCTGCACAAGCTCTGCCTGGTTCCCTGAGTTCCTGGGGCTCCCCACTGTCCTCCCAGCCCCCTGCTCAGCTACACAAGCTGTGCTGGGTCCCCTGAGCACCTGGGGCTCCCCACTGCCCTCCCAGGCCCCTGCTCACCTACACAAGCTGTTTCTGGTCCCCTGAGATCCTGGGGCTCCCCACTGCCCCTCAGCCGCCTGGTGAAATACACAAGCTCTGTCAGGTCCCCTGGGCTCCTGGGGCTCCCCACTGCCCTCCCAGGCCCCTGCTCATCTATTCAAGCTGTGCCTGGACCCCTGGGCTCCTGGGGCTCCCCACTGCCCTCCCAGGCCCCTGCTCACCTACACAAGCTCTGCCTC